AATTAGTCCCGAAGACTCTAGAACAGCACCTGATACATAGTAAATACTGTAGAAGTGTTTGAAAAGTAAAAGAAATAACCAGTTGTCTGTGACAGAACCAGTTCAAACCACCAGGTTTCTTTTCTGTTGTACGCTTTTATTTCAACAGCTGGCTGCCTGCAAAGGGAAGACAGATGCTCTCTTGGGACCACAGTGTCATCAGGTCCCAGAGGGCGATGTCAAAGAGAAGCTTCAGGAAACGGTGGGATTCATCAGAGAATGGGAGCATGGAAGAGCAAGAAAGAGCTTCAGTTTGGGCCAGGACAACTCCCAGGGATCATCTGGTTGAGAAAGTTGGGGAGGAAGGAAGAGGGCTCTGTGCCTCTCCTTAAACTCCCTGGGCCATGCTGGCCCCCTTGCTGTTGTCTAGGTATCTGATGTACTCCTGCACCCAGGCATCGTTGGGATTGGTGCAGACCTGTCGCCCCTTTCGGGTATGGAGGCTGTGTAATAAGATGGCAAAAGAGGAGAAACTGAGTCAGCAGCCTGAGAGGAGCTCATTTTCTGCCCAGTGTCAGCTTCCCTGCCCCTTTCTCTGCTGGATGCGGCCCCTCACAGAGAAAGAGACACCCACACTCTCTGTGCTCCCTAGGGAGTCAGTGAAGATACCACCCGTAGCCCAGCTTTCTTTCTTTCCTATTCTTTCTCAACCCCTCTCTAGGCCCCAGAACCAGCCTCCACTACCTCCCTGGGCTGCCCACCTCAGGCTGGGAAGTTCTCAGGCTGCTGTTCAGCAGCTGCTTCCTGTGCTCCCCACCACTTCCTAGAGAGTCCTGTTCCTCTGATTCCCTCTCTCAGGCCCTGCTGGTTCTCAACATTCGCACCATCTTCCACCTTCAGGGCTGCCGAACTTACACAATCCCTGGGCTGGGGCACTGGTCGTAGGTTCTATAATAGTCTTTCACAAAATGGAGTGGGACTTTCCGTGAGATGTAGGAGAAACAGCAGGCAGTGGGTTTTAGTTGAACTGATTCTGCAAAGTAGAGGGCCATGTGATGCTGGAAGATTCTCCACAAGGCAGCTTAGACCTGTATCTCTATTGCCCAGAGCATCAGAAGAGGAGACCAGACCAGAGCACCTAGGGGCGGGGGGGCGGGAGATGCCCTCTCCTTTGCAGCTCTTCCTCCTCCCTGTTATCCCTGTTATCCTCCTGTTATCCTCCTATAGGGCCATCTGGCTCACTCAATATGTAGGGCATGTGACTCTTGATCTCAGGGTCTTGAGTTTGAGTCCCATGTTGGGCATAGAAATGACTAAAACCAAAATTATCTTCCTCTAAAACCTCTCTTCCCTCCCTAGTGCTGATTCCTTCTGACATCTCTCAGATCCTTCCCAGGGCTGGGATATGACTCTGGTCAAAGCATTTCTAATTTCTTTCTTTTTAAATGTTTGTTTATTTTTGAGAGAGAGGGAGGGAGGGAGGCAGAGAGAGAGAGAGAGTAAGTGGGGGAGGGGACAGAGGATCCAAAGGGGGCTCTGTGCTGACAGCAGAGAGCCTAGTAGGAGGCTCAAACTCAGCTGTGAGATCATGACCTGAGCCAAAGTTGGACACTTAACCAGCTAAGCCACCCAG